ACAAAATGTTTTCTGTAGTGAGCAAACAGCTGGAAAACAACCTAGGAAAAAGGCTTCACTTCACCTGTGCTTGGCGTTAATACACAGACGTCAGTGGAAAAAATTCCCCATTTTTCTGTTTGGGATGTGAGCTATTGGGTCCACAAGGCCTTTAGCTTGCTGTAGGATGTGAGGCGATGCCCGCAGCTGCCGCCCCAAGTCTGGCCCTCGGTCTGGCCAAATGCAATGGGGCCACTGAAACCCGACGTCCGGCTCAGTGACCGACCTCACACACCCCAACTTGATCACGGTTCTCTCCTGGACCCCAGGCTGAGGCACGGATGCTGACCTACCCAGCACGGGCCATCTCGGTGGAATCGTAATGTTTCCAAGGCGCATGCGCAGAGCGCAGAGCGCAGCCGCACGTGCAGGGCAGCGATACCACGCAGGCGCCGTTGTGCAACCGCCTTGAGGACCTGGACAATGAGCTTAGGGGTGGATCTTCGCAGACCACAAGTGTTAGCTGGCTGGAAGAAGGCTGTCACCCTGATAGGACTGTGCATTGGATACCCTTAAAGCCGCTAATGAGAGATGGCCGAGTGCCAGGTCCTGCCCGAGCCCTCTAAGTGAGATGAGTTTCCAGCCAGCCCACAGGGTCGTATTGTGATAGTTGATTGAGCGTGAGGAACTCGAAACTTCTGATAAATAGGGACTCTCTTTCTACTGCAGCACCCCAAACCCAGCTAGTGATAGATTGGTTTAAATGGTGGGGCACTGGAGAGGGGACTGAGAGTCCAGAGCTTCAATAGAGGAAAAGAGTAGTGGGGAAGGAGAGACAAATTCAAAGTTGTGGTTAAAGCTGGCCACAGCTTCCCGAGAAACCTGCTGTTGCCGAGGCAGGAAGTGGCCCCAGAAAATCCCATGGAAGCATCTCAGCAGAGTATAGTGTGGACAAGAAAGGAGGGGTGTGTCCGTCAGATCCTTCCCCTCTCACTGGTCCAAGTCTGCTCAGTCTATGACCTCCCCTACCCTCCAGGCCTTGGCTAGCGGCAGCTGAGCCTTCCAGAGCTCCAGGAAGTACCATAGGCAACCTGTGGTGCAGCCCCGAGGCAAGGTGGATGGAAGCTGCACCCTCCTCACCCTTAGGGGATACTGAAACTGGCCAAATGATTAAAAGGCCACGAGGATGGCTGTGGGGTTAAGCAGCGGAAGACGTATAGGTAGCAGATGGAGACCAGTAATCTTGGGTGCAAAGTTTGGGGGTCAGGGCAGAAGGGGCTTTGGGCCACCAGGCCAACTTCAATCACACCAGCTCCAGTTGATTGGCAATCTGTATGGACTTCTGGATAAATTTCATGTGGAGAGCTGGCCCTGTGGCTAAATAAGCTGGGAAACCTGTAATATCATCTGACTCCTTTATTTTAGAGGAGAAATGGGGAGCCAGAGTGGGCGGTGACTTGTCTGAAGCCTTGGAAGCTCAAAGGAAGGTTGGTTCTGCAGGATCCACCAGGAACCCTAGTCGGGCCTGGTACATTCAAAGTTACCAGGTGAAAATACCCAGATGAAAAACAAGCCTGGTGACATTTTGGCTCATTGTTGAATGGGATGTGCGTTGCCAGGCTCTTTGTCTGTCCAGTCTTTCTTGCTTACTATGGAGACAGTGCCTCTACCAGTGCTGAAAATAGGCGAAAGGCTGTCTAAAGTCTCAAATGTAGCAGTGGAGAAAGATGTTCCTTTGGAGCTCTGCTTCCCATGGCCACATTGGCTGTTCAACTGCTCAGGGAACCAAGAGCAATGTTGCTTCTTGGTTCCAAAGGAAGCCTCAGAGGTTCCATCTCCAACAAAGGCTGAAACCTCCAGTGGAATTGCGAGGATGTTTCAAGCACCTTGGTGATCACCACCAAGTAGGTCCCTAACAGCTTGGCCCAGCTGCAGAACAACCTTCCAACAGGAACAAGCATCCAGTGGAGGCACCACTCACTTAGGCCAAGCCTTGTATTCTATGTACATAGCAAATAATTTTTGAGTTTCATCAGTCTTAACACTTTTGGGTCCTAGAGCTGTGAACTTTTGGCCAATACTGCTTGAACCACAGGTTTGAAAGGGCATCATGAAGATGCAAGGAACTGGACTCAACAAAGAGGAGCCAAAAATCATTATCACTCAGATGGATATAAAGGAGAACCAAGTAAGTTTTTCTCAGACTGTTATTAACCCATGCTTGTGTTTGATAAACAAAAAATGTCAAACCTTTGTCCTGATCTGGTAACAAACAAAATTGATCCTAAAGTGGGGTTTTTAAACCTAAGTCTATGGGACATTTAGGGGCAGAGGGGGGTCATAAAGTGAACATTTCCCTGAAGACTTCACCCCTTGTTTTCATCTGATTTTTGTAAACTCTTGTAGACTCCCTAACCCAAGATTCAGAACTATAGCCCTATACAAGAGAAACATGATTAGCCAATGAAGATGCTCCATTTCACTTAAATTGATTCAAAACAACTCAGAAGTCCATGGCTTTTTACCTTTCAAATTAGTAAATATGTAAAAGAATGCATGCGAGGAAGTGGCGGGGAAAGGAACTGTTGGTAGGAGTTGAAATTGGAAGTCTTTTCTGGAATGTATCTTAGTTGTTTGAATACAACCATCGTATGACCCAGCCATTTCTCTTTGGAATTTACTCTATATAGAGAGAAGAGTTAATGAATAAACATCTACACACACTCATCATGGCATTTTTCATTGTTAAAAACACCTGAAATGTTTATAAATAGGGGACTGCTAGATGACAGTACATTGTCATCTAGTTATTCTGAAACAGGTTCCAAAATACAGTACGTGGGAAATAAAAAAGAACAGAATGGATATATGTATATTTGTGTGCTCAGGATGGATACTCATTCTAGTGGGAAAATGGGGGTTGGGGTGGAAGAGAACTTTGCTTTTCATGGTCCAACCTTTTGTGCTGTTTGAATTTTTACCATGTACATGTGACACTGTAAAAAAAAAAAAAAAAGACTAAAGTCCCATCCCTTCCACTCTTTAACAAGAGTTACTGCACTCATTCCCCTATTTGCTGCCTTGAACTAAGGACCTTCCTGCTACAGACCAGCCAGACCATCTCCTTCCTCCCAAACAGGTCAGCTATTCTATGACAGGGAAAAGGGAGGGGACCTTGCATTTTATCTTCCCACCAAGAATGGCAGGAGTGCTCCTAGGAAATAGGCTATAGGCAGCACAGTGGGCACATCTAGAAGTTGAAGCTACAACATTTTAGAAATAAAGTATTTCAGTTTCTGTGGGTGTTGAGGATGAAGACAGGAAACAATGAAGATGGTAAAGATGAGGAAGAATTTGAAGAGTTTAAAGACACCATGGTAAAAAGAATAAACAGGAGGAAGTTACTGGATTTTACTAAGAAGAAAACAAAATAAGTTCAGGAGTCTCACCAGTAAAAGTTTATAGTATTGCATTTTGATTACAGGTGTGTAAATTAAAAACTTGAGTATTACCTTCTGGTAAAAATGCAGAACCAACTTCTTTTAGATTAAAAGAAAAGGTTTGGGGACAAAATGCTGCCTGGGATGAAGAGAGAGAGATGGACTGGAGAGGAACCACCAGCTTGAACCCCAAGACTCTTAAGAGAATCTTCCAGAGGAAGCAGCCAGGATCTCTCATCTCTCTGAATGGTATTTTCCCCAAACAACTCTCCTCCAGGGATGTGGTTTGGGGAAACCCAAAACCCTAAGCCATTGTGCCTAAGTGGTTAAAGACTCCCGAATCCAGTGTGGCCTGCTTCCCTCACCAGTTACTTCCTAGTCTTCTGCAGAATTCACAGGGTGGCACCATCTACCCACGGGGAGTGGGTAGATGCCAGTTTGACTCAGACCAGTGGGTACAAGGGCATAGTCCTTATGCCTTTAGAAAATCCAAAGTCCCCAAATAAAGAGAAGAGATAAGAGTGGAAAAAAATCAAACCAGAATTTTTCCAATGGCCATTAAAGAGAAAACAATTCTTGCCTGTCTTTGACCCTGAGAAGTTGCTTGAGGGACACAGCTGTATGAGCTGTATGAGACAGTAGGGAAGGCATGGTGTGCTTCCTGCAGAACTGCCTCTGGAGTCCCTGCAGCCCACCTCCTGCACCTGTGGGCCAGGGGGCTCAGTGACCCCTTCTGTCTGCCCCATAGCAGGGACCTTGACGGGGCATGGTGGGGCCAGGTAGAGGAGGAGAAAAGTAGCAGCAGCAGACCCTCCAAATTGCCCAGCACCACCTGAGGTGGCAGCACTCCCTGCCAAACCAGAGATGGAGGCCACCACATCAGTACCAAGGGCTCTTTCACACACAAGGTCTTTTCCTAAAAAGAATCCTTTGGAATTCAGACATTCAATGTGCTACCCAAGTCAGTGGTCTAACCAGTGTTGGATCTGTCCACTCAACCTGGACTCAAGTTATTGAGGCAGGAAACCTCATTGTCCACGGTTATGAGGAAATCACTCCAGCAATGAGAACTTGAATGGCGGATAGTGAGGTTGAATGGATCTTTCTTCCCCAAGCTGTTTGGACAAAGCCACAGCCAAGAGGACATCTGCTCGGGCCGACACATCCCTGATCTAAGAAAGGAGCCGCTCAGTGCCAAGCCTCTTCCTGACCCACAGCCCCCTTGGAGGTCCCCTGGATCAGAGCCCCTAGGAGGAGCACAACTCTGGGGTCTCTCTCCTTCCCCTATCCCTCATATTCCAACGTTGTTCATCTTCTAGGAGAGAAACCAGCCCTGCCTCTCCAACTTCTGGATGGCGCTGGACTTGCCACATCTTGAGGAGCCAGGAGCCAAGAGAATTGGCTTAAGCTTGACATACTGGTTCTCTGTCCTTTGCCCCAGAGTCACGCACTAAAAAAAAATGTATAGTCTCACAGCAGGCACAGCATCTTGTTCTTTTAAAAAATAAATATTTATAAACTTAGGGAGGAAGATTCAAAGAATCAAGAG